CGCCACCTTGAGAAACAGTGTGCTTAAAGATATTTTTACTGCAATATACTTTTGGTATGCACTCCTTCACACATCAAATGTACATACCTTGGGTATGTTGCAGTAAAAATATCTTGAAGCACACTATTTCTCAAGGTGGCGATATTATGGACCCTGGTGATATTATGGACACAGATGTTACAGATTCATGCACAGATTCATGTACAGATACAGATTTTCCAGGTAGGATGACCGTACATGCGAGTGAGGAGGCTTGACCAAATTGCAATGAACATTCAATCAAAAGTAAACATATTGGTGAACATAGAATATCATGACCATGGAAAAATCACATAAAATACCTCAGAACAGTCAGCAACAACACGCAGAATACTATTCAAACATCTGATGAGTTCAACTGTTACAGCATTTACATCTCATATTGACTATGACAGATGACATACATATAAAACAGTAAAAAAATCAAGTAAACAGGAGGAGAAAATATGGGGGTCTTGATGGACAACAAACTCAACTTTCACGCAAATACTGCAATACATGGAACTGATGGTGAGTTCAGATACTGCAATTAGTGATGCATACCGGTTCACTGGACTTGAATCTGGACTTGTAAGAATGTTTAGGTTCAAGTCCAAAAAAAAACTAAAAGTCAAGAACCGAGTCCGGACTTATTACCATAAAAGACCATTACATACCCCTTTTCTTTCCAAACCACCTAAAACCTTCCGTAGATTGTAAAATCTTTGCTGCAAAACGAAGAAAACATTGCCATTGGGCATCGTCAAGTACCGGCCTCCATGTTATGTGGCCAAAGTTTCACCCAGACAACATTGCAAGGTTGCCAACATGCAATTTTTGTATATTGCCGTGGGTTTAGGTCCGGACTTACAAGTCTGGAACTGAACCTAAACCTCTGGACTTGAATCCGGACCTGAACCTAAAATTGGGTTTAGGTATGCATCACTAACTGCAAAACATGGAACTGATGATGAGTTCAGATACTGCAATACATGGAACTGATGGTGAGTTCAGCACCAAGGAGAAGTCCACACTTATGGGGGGGGGGCATCCACAACTTTGGGGATGTTTTACAACACTTGCTGTGGCAGAAGGTATCCAAGAAAGCCAACCGAACGCTGGGAGGAAATTAAGAGAGCTTTCCACAACCTTGACACAAGGACAGTAACGTTGTACGTACCACTGCTGTAAGTCTAATTTGGTTCGACCTCATCTGGAATATGCAAATGTCATATGGGGGCCTTATTTCCGGCTGGACCAGCGGGAACTGGGGAAGGTGCAAAGAAGAGCCACCAAACTCCCAAGAACAGAGAAAGGATAGTTTCTATTGGTGTTACTTTTCTACACTTGCGTCAAGTACATCAGCATTGTAACTCATTTTGTACCGCACAACAGCACACAACCAAGTTCTGTCACAGCCGCCACCCGATTGCTACTGTTGGCAGGAATGATGATACACGACACGTCACAACTAAATGTAAAATGAACGCTCAATCGTATTCTAAAGATCCATTTTAATGATGAAATCCTATTGATATTGAAAAATCTACCTCAAAAGGAATCATATTTTCCTAAACGTCTACAGTACGACACGATTTTTGACGGATGTTTCCATTTTCAGGACGCAAATCACAGGTTCATTCCTACCACGCGTTCGAACGCCATGTTTACTCGTGTTGCCATGGACGCGGGTTCGAATTCTACACATTCGACAAGTTTCGTGCTCACGGACAAGGTGGGAAGTTTTCTCTCTCCTGTTTTAGGTGAAAAATACCGAGAAAAATCCTAGAGAAGTCGCAAATCTCAGTAACATGTTACGTGCGAGTGCTACTTACATGTCGTTAAGGCTGATAGACCGCACAAATGTCAAAATATCTTTCGAAATGGAGCACAAAAAGTTCGTAGGGTTCTAAACAATCTGGTTACCGCAAGGTCACATCAGATTCTCAAGGTCATATTATCGCTTGTAAGGACATTTTACACGTACAGGAAGAAAGTTAAGTCTTTCTTGGTATTTCTGAGATCTTGTAGACAGTTTTAGCGTATGTAGACGTCTTATCGCCAGTGGGATCCAGAAAGTCACTTGCTATTTCAAGTATTTGTGGATTTATTTGATGACCTCTGTAGGTGTTCTGTTGAGAGCGAGTGCACGAATTACCGAAGAAAACCCCTACGACACGATGTCTGCCCTGATGATGGCCGAGAACAATTTGAGTCAGGTAGAGGTAAGTCCTACATTAGGTCAAGTAAGTAAATTTTATGGATAACATCCTCCGCAGACTCCAAATCTAATGCGAGAGGGCGAAAAAAAACAAGGCGGGTCCAAAAAAACAAGATTCCTATATTCTGAAATTTTGACATCATAAACCCTATTAAACAAGAAATGATACCTATATGGTGCTAACTTTACTGCCAACTATCACAACATCCATTTGTCACTAAAACAACTTTAGGAAAGTTTTCAATCATTGTACAAATGGTTTTGATTCCGTGGGAGCGTATAAAAGGAATAAAAAACATCACCGCATCAAAGTAAAAGTCAAAACAATAAATCAGAGCCTTGTCTTGTCTCCTCTCTTCATGTTTATCTGCCATGTTACTTTCCAGCATGGCAAGGCATGCCATTTTGTCCATTTTTGGAATGTTGACCACCGTCAAAGGGCAACAAATTTCTTGTTTTTTTTTTCCCAAATCAGGCGAAAATCAATGCGCCCGCGGATGTCATCCATAAAAATTACTTGCTGTGGCCTTAGCTGATACACGGAGATTGTTCAACCTTGTCCGCTGAACAATAATACTGGCGGAAGCCATGTTTTTCAGATCAAACTTCATTCCGAGGTAGGAAGTAAAAAGTGTACAAACGTTCAGTATGATGGCTTAACTAGACCAGGGAAGGCTATTCTCTCATATTTTCCATAGACATAACAATTATTATTATGTTAAACTATAGAAAAGTAACATTTGCGAAGATCAAATGCATAACGTTTACCTTCAATGGCATATTGTATAAAATCCTCCTACTATAAAATTGCAACAAAATGTAACCCTGTAAAAACATTCAGTATGATGGCTTAACAAGACCAGGGAAGGCTATTCTCTCATATTTTCCATAGACATAACAATTATGTTAAACTAGAAAAGTAACATTTGCGAAGATCAAATACATAACGTTTACCTTGGCCTATTGTATAAAATCCTCCTACAGTATAAAATTGCAACATAATGTAACCCTGTACAAACATTCAGTATGATCATCTTAACAAGACCAGGGAAGGCTATTCTTTCATATTTTCCATAGACATAACAATTATGTTAAACTAAAAAAGTAACATTTGCGAAGATCAAATAAATGCATAACGTTTACCTTGGCCTATTGTATAAAATCCTCCTACAGTATAAAATTGCAACATACTGTAACCCAACACCAGTTACCATGGTTCAGTCAGGCCAGAGGTCACTGGAGGAAAATTAGAAACATAACAAAAACAATACGTTTTCCTTTGGTAAACATAATAAATGTGGAGTTCATTTTGTTTTGTTGTCCTTAGGCCACACCAATTTAATTTCTTGGTTAACGGATTCGCCCGCTTCATTTTTTTTCGGTTTGCAAATAAAAATAAAAATTCAGAATCAACTGCAAAATGCTCATATTTTGCCCTGAACAGCTGAAAACAGTCCTTTTCATCCTAGTTATATAAGAGTTATTCCATCTTTCAATGCAATGATATCATTAAAAGTTCAAAATTCATTGTTTAAATTTTGTGCCAGTCTGGTGTGTTGACTTCATGGCTCCTATCGTACCATTTTGGGCCATAATAGGATGCCTAGGCCTGTTTTTATTTTTTTTTCGCCCACCCGCTCCATTATTTTTCAAGAAAAATCCGTTAACCAAGAAATTAAATTGGTGTGGCCTTATACTCACTGCAGACTGGAGGTGGTGACCTGAGAAAACTGACCCATGAGAGTGATGAGGGGAGGTTGAAGGTACGTCATCATTTCTACAACATTCATGGCCAGTCAGAAGTTGTATGTTATGCCAGTTATTGCTAAGCCATTCTGTGTTTTGAGGGGTTTGAAATCCTCCTCCCCCCTTGTCAAAATTTCTTCTTTAGGCCACACCAAGTAAATTTTATGGATGACGTCCGCGCGCGCATTGATTTTGGCCTGTTCCTAGAAAAAAAAAAACAAGAAATTCCGCTTCCTGTAACTATGACCAAAGAGTCACAACAGTGCCGCAAATCGTTAGATTTACGTGAAACGGGTAAAGAGCACATGCTTTGATTCTGCAGGCCTGCAAAAATGTGATGAAAGAAACAGGACAGGACAACAACTGCTGTTCCACCTAATTTATTGCTGTTTTGATGATGAATAAAAGACTTCTTGCTAATGTTACACTGTGTCACCTCATTCAATTTGTGTCCTAACATTTGTCGTCTCTTATATTTCTAATCTAGGCATCTTGTTTTTTGGGGGCCCTTCTTTTTTCTTTTTTGCCCTCTTGCATTAGATTTAGGGTCTCCAGGGGACGTCATCCATAAAATTTACTTGGTGTGGCCTTACAATAAGTTATCAATAGAGTCAGTCTATGCCTAATGCTAACATATTCTCCTACCATACACGTCATGTACTTCTTCTTATTTGGTGCTCATTTTATGGATTCCGACTATCCTAAGGTTTAATATGTTAACCCTTTGTCTGTGTTGTTTTTCTCTGTTTTGTTTTGTTTTGTTCTTATTGCTCTGTGTTCCTTTTCCTACATAGCCCGAGCAAGAGGGTGATGCGGCCAGCTCGTTTAGCGAGTAAGAACTGTTTAGTTGGGTTTAACTAACAATGTTCAGAACAGTTAGAACAATAGAGGGGGGATCCCATCTACAGACAGAGATAGAAGCCAGTCTAAGCTTTGTTGTTTTCTATGGTAGGAACACTTGTATGTATACTAAGGAAGGGAACTGTAACATACCAGTAGTGTTATGGATCACAAAATGGGCTTCAAGTGCAGTTGGACAATGGACCTATCGCATTATTACGTCACAGTTTGTTTACCGCAATGAATGCTGGTCAATCGACGTTTATATTGTACAGGGGTGCGTCGCGCAGTGTGTGTTTGTGTAGTGTTAGCCTTAATATAAGGCTTTTATACAGTACTACTTTCGTCTAATGTCACAACTAAATCTGGTGACCGTTGCGGCATGTAATGCTGTGTCAACAAAACTTAAGACGCAGCAAAAATCAAACATACCTGACTTTGAAAACTTTGAAATGATCTTTATTCTTTAACTGACCGTTCTAGAATTGTTCTTTAGAACAGGTAAACAACTGTGACGTAATAATGGTATAGGTCAATTGATAGTTGCAGATACCATGAGTTCACACAGTACTGTCCATCTGCACAGTTATGTTGTTGC